TCAAATATTTTTGTGTATCCTAGAAAAACCAATGATTCTTTCTTAGCCCAGCCCCATTACAAGCCTCAAAAGACCTTTTGATTTAAGTCTTGCTTAACAAATGTTGATTTCTTGAAGATGATTATCAATATTGGATTGTCTAAATGAAGTGATTGAATGAGATAAACACTTACCTGTGAGAATTAGAGATGAGTATATATAACTCTATTTGAGAGATCATGCTTCTCTGAGGATAGTTGAGGACTAATTATTCTTTGTTAGTTTCTGTAACTTGAATGCTTATGTATTCTATTTTCATTCAGAGTTGTGAGCATTACATCTAAAAATTTTTTATGTTGTGGTTCTTGAAGAGAAAGTGATAATAGGCGATGGTTTTGTTTTGGAAAAATTACTTTGCTTGGGACAAGCAAGATTCTAGGTTGGGGGGAGTTGTTAAGTGGTAAAAAGTTGATCTAATTATACTTTGAATTGTTATGAAATCACTTAACTTATGTTAATTCTAATATATTTTTCTCCCAATATAGGATGAATTCGAGAATACCTTGATACAAGAGCAAAGATCATAATTGTGAAGTAATTGAAGAAAAATTGAAAGAAAGAAGAACGCTTAAGCGAATGAATGATGCAAGGCCCGACCCAAATTCTCTTATAAAAAGATAAGATGTGTTTTGAGAAAAGCAAGCAGTCTTGGAGAGGAGGAGGCACGACTACTGTTAGGATTTTGTCTAATCTTCATCAATTCTTCACTTCTTCATCAATTAGAGCATTATATTGACCAACATGAGTAGCTAACTTCGTTCTCTTGGAATTGGGTGCACTTCCTTTGAACTGTTTTGTATCATGGTGATATTTTGATATATTAATCTATGTTTTGATGTTGTTATTCTTATCCTTTATGCTTTGGAATTATTTATTCTTGATGTTTGGGGTATGGTTGGAAAATATATCTTGAACCCTAGATCACGGTAAGAATATTTGTTACGTTAATTGTCAGGAATGGAATGAATGTATCAATTGCTTAACACCCTAACCCTAATGCTGGAAAATCTCTTAATTGTGTGAGGAATCAACATTTATTAGGTTTTCTTATGAATTTCATGTGTGAGGAATCAACATAGATGATTTGAGTAGGTGGCATCAACATTGTTAGGTTAATTGACGTTCTTAATTGATTTAGCCATTACAAAAGAGGGATAAGGAAGGAAGTCAATCCTAAGTACCTTTAATTGATATTTTCTCAATAATTTACAGTTCTTTGTCCTTTGATTTCAGTTCAACTCTTTATGAAAAACCCATTCTGTTTTAATGTACTTAGTAAGCATATAATTGGGAATTTCCATTGAAATCGTTCCTCGTGGGATCGACATTTATTTAATCGAAATACTATACTGCAATTGATAATTTTGATATGTTTGCCAATAATTCAACAAAAATGTATCCCTACTGGGACCCACTACATGGAAGCATGACAATGAGCGAGACCCCGTAGATGAATTATTTTAGCTCCACCAGATCTGACTAAAGTAAAGACTTTAGTTAATGATTGTCATTATTGTTAAGAATTTTTAGGGTTTTGTGTATATGTACTTCTGATATATCATGTGGGTATATTTCTATTCATGTACTTTATGTATATATAGAGTAAAATATTACAAAATATCAAATATCAATAATATCTCAATCATAACTGCCTAAATCAAAATAATAATCTAATGTCTTTTTATCTTCTCTATTAAAGGATAATAAAATCTCTTAATACCTAATTTAAATAAAATATAATAAAGTAATATTCCCAACATTCCTCCTTACTTTAATATCTATTTATTTGAATTTTATATTCTTCCTTTTATTTTGCTTATAATTTTTCCTCCTTTTTTGTTTATACTTCTTGTCATCTTCTTTCTTGGATGAAATCACATCTTCATTCAACTTCACTTTCTTCATCAACATATTTCTTCCTTTATCAACTTCATCTCCTTTGTTTCTTTCAAAATTCATGGTAGTATTGTTGACTCTTTGATGGACGTTGAAAATAGTTTCTTCATCTACATCTTTATTTTCCTCCTTAATATCAAGTTCCTTCAAGAAATCTTTTTTATGCTTTTTCTTTGACTTTTCTTTTATATCTTCGTTTGTAATCATTTCTTCTTTCATCAAATCTAAAGTGAAACTTTTTCCTTTCATGTGAACTTTGAATATTTCCAAGTTATTTGTATCTTTAATCACACAAAGTTTATGTTCAAAAGACATTTTATAACTTTTCTCCAATAATTGAGCAACACTTAACAAATTATGATTTATATCAGCAACATATAAAACATCAAAAATCAATTTGATACCCAAATGACTTTTAACTGCAATTGTTCTCGTACCTTTCACATCCATTTCTTCTCCATTACCAATTCTCACTTTAGAAATATGTGATTCGTTGAGCTCTTTGAAAAGTTTTCGATCATGACTCATGTGGTTTGTACAACCACTGTCTATAAGTCAACCTGTGGATTTGTTTATTGTAGAGCATGTTGATGCAAGGAGAAGTACCTCTTCTATTCTATCCTCTATAACTTGAACGACTTCCTCTGGTTGTGATTTTCATATCTTTTCTATATGTCCCAATTGACCACATTTGTGACATTTCACATCAAGTCTCCACCAACACTTGTTGGGTGTGTGATTATTTTTCTTGCAATAAGGACAAACAGAAAAGACTTGTGATTTTGTACCTTTTTTGTTCTTGACTTAAACAGAACCTCTATCATGATATAGTAAAGAACCTTCACCAACAGCATGATCTCCTCTCATCAATCTCCGTTGCTCTTGTGTTTGTAAAGCATGTAACACTTCTGCCAAAGTAATATTAGACAAATCTTTTGTGTTTTCCAATGAAGCAATAGATGCTTCATATCTCTCTGGCACAGTTACCGGAATTTTTTCAACTATTCTAGAATTAGAAAATTCCTTGCCTAACAATTTTATTTTGTTAGCAATACCTAACAATTTGTTTGAGTTTTCATTAATTGTTTGAGACTCTTGCATCTTTTGTATCTCAAATTCCCTTATCAAGTTTAGAACTTTCATACCTCGAATTTTCTCATCCCTTCATATTGATCTTTCAAATAATCCCAAATTTCATTGGGTGACTTTAGCGTCATGATTCTGGTGAGGATCAATTGTGAAACACCAGCAAACAGACATGATTTAGCTTTTGCCTTCCTCGTTTTTCTTTCTTTGTGAAATTTCATTTCAGCTATGGTGGGATTTTCAAGCAGTGGATCAACAATATAATCTTCTTCTACAGCTTCCCATATATCCAATACTTCAAGATAGGATTGCATTCTCACAACCCATAAGTCATAACTTTCGCCATCAAAAAATGGAATAACGACTTGTGAAAAATTTATTTCTCCTTCTATTGTGTCGAACCAAAGCTCTGATACCAATTTGTTGAGAATTTTTAGGGTTTTGTTTGTGTATATGTATTTTTGATATATCATGTGGGTATATTTCTATTCATGTACTTTATGTATATATAGAGTAAAAATATTACAAAATATCAAATATCAATAATATCTCAATCATAATTGCCTAAATCAAAATAATAACCCGATGTCTTTTTATCTTCTCTCTTAAAGGATAATAAAATCTCTTAATACATAATTTAAATAAAAGATAATAAAGTAATATTCCTAACAATTATGACATACTACTAAAACACGTTTCTCTTATCTTTACATGTGCTCATTGCTATTACCGCAAACATGTTAAGGAAGATAAGTCTGGATCAACATTAATTCTCCTCGAAGGGATAAGGTATCATATCTTATCTTTTCGAATCTTATCATATCTTGTCCATTTGTCTATATGTATGACTATGATAAAGTGTGAGTCATAATCTTATCATTTTATTTTGTCCTTTGTAAAGCCATTATGAAATGTGGGTCGTAGTTTTATTATCTTTATTTTGGATTCCACCTTATAACATAAGTTTTGGGTCCGAATTTCATTCTAGTTTAGCGTAGCTTTCAATTCCGCTTGCTTGGTTTTGCTATAAATAGAGGATGCTTGTAATATTGTAACTCATAACAAAATAGAGTAAATCAATACAAGTTCTCTTTCTAGAAATGTTCTTTCTTTAAGTTTCTTTTCTCTGAAAGCTTGAAACTCTTAGTTCTTAGTACCGTTCCCTATTTAGATGCATGTATGCTCTACACTTCATCGAAAGAGGATCCTGTGTATCAAAAAGTTTCTGATCTATGAAACAATTTTACCGCATAATGTTCTTCTTATAGGAAATATGAACTTGAGTAGATTTTTAATCAAGTGACGACGTTGTTATGTCCGAGGAGGTTCATATCGTTTTGATAAGAAGGGGTATCGAAATCATAATATAAGATATTTTAATACAAGTATACATATCATTAAAGAAAATTAATTCATTTAATTAAGTTTTTAAAATAATATTAACAATAAACTAAATTTAAATTTATTATAAATTAATTTAAATTATTTATCAATAAAAAAACACACATATTGATAATATTTTATAGGAGTAAAAAAAGTAAATTTAATATTTCATACAAATCATAAAATACATTATAAAAAGGATTTTTTTTTTTTAAGATAGTTTCCATCAATACATCCACTACTGTTAAGAATTTTATGTACATTGAACACCAACATTAGGTTGTGCAAATTCCTCCAAAATAGAAGTTGAAGTTTGATTTTGTTATGAAGCAAAGGATGGAGAGGAAATTGTTTTAGAAAAGTGAAAGACGAGGAGGCAAAGTTGGTGTGTGGGTGTTTGTTCTCTTATTATACTTTGAAATGAATGGGAGAAATAGTACAATGCACATGGAGGCTTTAAAGAAGATAGAAAAAAAAAAAAAGAAAAAAAAAAAGAAAAAAAGAGAGAAATAGAGATGGTGATCATCATTTATCTAGCCAGCTTTGACAATAGCTGCCATTCACATGCCCTCAGCTTTCCACACCATTAATCACACCTCACTTTATTATGCCCACTTACATGCACCATCTCACCACTTTCCTTCACTTCACAACTTATCTCTCCTTTCTTCCACACCCTTGTTATCTTTTCTTCTTCCTATCAATCTTATTTCTAAACAACATTCAACTTTACCTCATATTTATGCAAATAAAAACATTTGAGTTTAAAATAATTAGTTCAACTTTAATTTACGTAAATTTTATTTCAATTTGTTCTCTTTATTTTTTTTAAAAACAAGTTTGGGAAGAAACTAGATCAATTACTAATTAGTATTAAACGAAAACAATATGAAGTTGAAAAAAATATGGAAACAATTGTTTATATAAAACTTAAATATGTCCTACCTGATACCGACAATTTATTATAGATAGTACAGATTTCGGAAAGAATAAGTGTGGGTCCTGTCTCTTCCTTCTACAGTTTTTTCCATAAATATCTGAATATTAAAATCTATTTTCTTACAATAAAAATATTATTTAATTATATTCACTTATTAGTTTTGTCCCATGACTTATTCCGACTTAACCGTGACGGTATGAATCATTTTTAAAAAAATGATTTTTTGAAAGCATACTCTTGTGGTTAGGTTGGTTTTGGCTTGTTTTAGTTTATTAATGCAAAGGTTGGGTTGCGTTTGTTTGCTTCAATTTGGTGCAGTTTATCTGGGTTTGTTTTATTTATTGCTCATATCAATTCAGTTAGGTTTGACTATATTTGGTTACATTTAATTTAATTTGGTCCATAGATACTTCAGCAAATTTAATTGAATATGGGTACGCTCTTATTTGATTTTAAATTATATTTAATGTTTAATTGGATTTTTTTTCTTTTTTTCTTTTAAGTTGGATGGGGTATTTTGGCTTTAATTTTGCTCCTCGCGAAACAAAAATATGAATATTCTTAATAAAAATAGAAAATTAAAGTAAAACATATTTTATCAATTTTGATTTAAGAAAAGTTAACCTAAAAATTATAATTAAAAAAATCTCTTTTTATCTCATTTAATAGTAAAGATAATGTGATAATAGGATAAGTGTGTAACAATAAGTAAACCCAATTTATTTATTAGAAGTAATTAGTTATTATAGGTTAAACAATTAAAGTTAAATAGATTCGAATTGAATTACTAATGTTTTCATTTGAATATTAATAATTTAATTCATTTTAACTATAAGAGGGTGTAAGTCAATAAATTTGTTTAATCAACCAACTCATTTAACTTATTTATTTTAATTATTTTGAAAAATTAAAAATAATATATATATATATATATATATATATATATATGTATGTATATTAGTGAATTTGTGATTTAAAATCCATGATAAATCAATAATTTGAATTATAAATTTTTTTATTTTAAAAATAAAATAATTAATTAATTTTTAACTCAACTTTATTAAGTGGGTTGGATGAGTTTTACATGCAGGCATGTGTAAGGACATTATTTTATTAATGTAGTGTATTTTTTTTTAATTTATCAAAATGAATAAATTTTTTAAAAATTATAGATTTAAGTAAACCATATTACGAAACCTGATTTTAACATAAAAAAAATTGTGTTTCATAACACGATTTCAATTTTTAAATTTTAAAAATATATTTATATAAAAATCTTATTTATATTATACTAATTATTATAATTAAGAATAATATATTTTATATCATTAATAATAAAATAAATAATAAATATAAGTTTATAATTTATTTTTATTATTATTTTAATATTAATAATGAATAGTTGTTAATAAAATTATATTATTATTAAATAATAATAATAATAATAATAATAATAATAATAACAAATATATAAATAAGTAATAAAATTATAATTATTACTATAATTATTATATTTTTAATATTTTTAATAATATTATTTTAATTTTATTATTAATAATAATATAAATTGAATTGTTATTATTATTATTATTATTATTAATTATAATAATATTATATTACAATTTTTATATAGATTTATACGAAATTTTATGTTATTTAGTACGATTGTTTTAGAAAATAAAAATAAAAATTATATTATGAAATACAACTTCTTCATGTTAATTATCCGCATCTATAATTTTTTAAAAATAATTTATACCATTTTAGTAAATTTGTAAAGAAATTGTAATAATTTAATAAAAAAAAAAACGAATGAGTAGGAGCTATAAGTTAACTGTAAACACACTGGTATGCACCATTTTTAAGTCTCTTTTGTCATCGCCAACATCTTCCCCCTTGTTACAATTAAGTCAAAGCTTGCCTCTTCCATGATTAAATAAACATGTCCATTTTTTCTTCTTCTCACAAGTTTATAATTTAATCACTTTTTTACAAAGGGTCAATGAATTTAATTTAAAAAATTATAACCATGTAGGTCAATTGGCTTCTTGTTGTTCGAATTTAACAAGTAGTCTTAAATTCGAGCCTCGTATACACAATTTCATTAAATACTTGTATAAAAAGTTTTATCACTCGTATTGCTTTTATCTAGCTTGACACTAAATGAAGACATAAAAAATTACAAGAAGGCAAAACACAATCGAAAGTATCTTTTCTCGAGTAAATAACCGTTGTAGTTGACTTTGAAAAAACAATAATTGACTTTAAAAATATCAAACATACGAGATTTAGTTTGATAAATTTTTTTACTAATAATAATTAATGGATATAGCACAAATTCTCTTAAAGTCACATTAACAAAACATTTTTTCTTCACTAATAAAATAAATAATACATAATTTTGTTAGGTATTTGACAATACGAGTTGATAACTAAACATAGAGTAATGAAAACAACAAAACTTCATATTTGAGCTAACTTATCTGCACAAAGTTGTTATGAATAATACGTTCTTCTTCTTTCTTGTGGTGATTTGTTTTTGTATCTCAAGAAAACCTTCTTCTTTATTCTCTATCTTCTATTCTTTCTAAGTCCTAAAGGACTCAGATACAAATGAAGACAATCCTATAATGGGCCAGTAACTCATAAAAAAAATATTCTTATTCTTTTTTAACTTAGTCAGTATAGATCCAATAATTTGGTGACTCACCTGACAAATCTCATCCTCACCAATTAATTGTGGTTATAGTTAACCAAACTTGTTTTCTCCTTGTAGATAACAAATTTTCTAGTAGATAAGGATTTTGTCATCATATTTGAGTCATTCTCATTTGTATGGATCTTCTTCAATGATAATTGCTTCATTTCCAACTTATCGCAAATTCAATGATATCGGATATCAATATATTTTGACCTTGAATGAAATGTCAAGTTATTACTGAGATGGATTGCACTTTGACTATCACAATATAAAATATATCTTTCTTGTGAAAGTCCTAACTCCTGTAGGAATTTTCACATCCACAAGAGATCCTTTGTAGCTTTTGTAATAACAATATATTCTGCCTCTGTAGAAGATGGAGCAACACACATTTTTGTAATTTGGACTGTCATGACACCACTCCCCCTACAAAAGTCATCATATATCCAGAAGTAGACTTCTTAAAATCTACATCACCAGTCATGTATGCATCTGTGTAACCATTTAACACAAACTTACCACTTCCAAAGCATAAACACTCTCTAGAAGTACCTTTGAGGTACCTAAGTACCCACTTCATAGCTAACTAGTGCTCTTTGCCTGGATTAGCAAGGAAATGACTAACAACACCAATAACATAAACAATGTTTGCCCTTGTATACACCATAACATATATTAAACTGCCAATTATAAATTAATATGAGATTTTCTTCTTTATCCTTCTCACTTATATGACCCTACTTTGAGCTTAACTTAAAATGACCTGTAAGTAGAGGCTGACAGATTTATAATTGCTCATATTATTAAATCTCTCTAATACCTTCTCAATATATTTTTTTTGTGATAGCCATAATTTTCTATTCTTCTTGCCACGAACAATTTTTATGTCAAGGATTTGCTTTGTAGAATCCAAATCCTTCATTGCAAATGACTTGTTTAATTCTCTTTAAAGGCTTTGAATCTATCTCATATCATGACCAACAATCAACATGTCATCAATATAAAGCAAGAGAATAATAAATCTTCCATAAAATAACTTCTTAACAAAAATGCAATTATCAAATGAGGTTTTATTATACCAGTGATCCATCATAAAGGAGTCAAACTTCCTATGCCATTGCCTTGGAGCTTGTTTGAGTCCATGTAAACTCTTTTTTAGCCTGCAAAACAAGTTTCTTTTTACCTTTGACTGTGAAACCTTCAGGTTTCTTCATATAGATCGCTTCCTCCAAGTCACCATGAAACAAGGTTGTTTTTACATCAAGTTGCTCAATTTCTAAATTTAAACTAGCTTCCAAGTCAAGTACAACTCTAGCTGAAGACATTTTGACCACATGTGAAAATATTTATTCAAAATCAATACCTTTCTCATGAATAAATCCTTTCACCACCAACCTTGCTTTATATCTTGGTTGTGAGTTATTCTCCTCTTATTTCAATTTGAACGCCCATTTATTTCTAAGTACACTCTTATCTTGAGACAGCTTCACCAACTCAAATGTGTGATTCTCATGTAAAGATTTCATCTCTTCTTGCATGACTTTATACCACTTGTCTTTCTCTTTATGTAACATAGCTTCTTCATAGCTTTCAGGCTCTCCCCCATCAGTTAACAACACAAACTCATGAGGTGGATATTTTTGAGAAGTACGAATCTCTCTAATAGATATTCTCAATTGAGGCTCCATAGGAGGTTTAAGAGGAACTGGTTCGGTTGATTCATTGACTTGAGTCTCAGACATGTTCTCTACATTCTCCAAATTTGCATTCACATCTTCCCCATGATTAACAACACTGGTAGGAGGTTCAGCCTCAACATCAATGCACTCAGGAGTAACATGTCTTGACTTATCTTTCTTGTCAATATCTTCAATGGTCTGATCTTCAAGAAAATCAACATATCAGCTTCTAAGAATCTTCTTATTAACCAGATCCCAAAATCTATAACCAAAATCATCACAACCATAATCCAAAAAAAATACATTGCTTAGACTTCCCATAAAGCATAGATCTTTCATCTTTAGGGATGTAGACAAATGGATTGCAATCAAATACCCTCAAATGATTATAAGAAATATTTTTCCCTTTCCACACACTCTCAAGGACATCACCATTAAGAGGAATGGATGGAGATGGGTTGATCAAGTCCACTACAGTTCTCAATACCTCACCCCAAAATGCTTTAGGCAACTTTGCATGAGAGACCATGCACTTGATTCTATCATTAATTGTGTGATTTATTCTCTCTCCAATTCCATTATGTTGAGGGGTCTTTGGAACTGTCTTCTCAAGTTTGATGCCATGTTCCTTGCAATAGTGTTGAAAAGGACCTCCAAATTGACTACCATTACCTGCTCTAATACATTTCAACAACTTGCTTGTTTCTCTTTTAATACTTGCATGGAAATGCTTGAACATATCAAGTACATAGTATTTGGATTTCAAAACAAAAGATCAAACCTTTATAGGTCATCAATAAAAGTAAGAAAATAAGTGCAACCGCTAATTGATTTAGCATCCATAGAGCAAACATCAGTGTGAACTAAATCCAAGATATGTGGTCTTTTACGTGGAGGATAACTGTGAAAACAAACTCTTTATTGTTGGCCAATAAGACAATTAGAACAAGTTTCAAGAGATGTACCTTTAAGAGAAAGTAACCCTTGACTTGCAAGAGTATTAAAACCCTTCTCACTCAAGTGACCAAGACTTTTTTTCCATAAACGCTCTGATACCAGGATTAGTGTGTCCGCAGCTATGCTTAGGTATAATCATTTTTATCTTTTCTGCTGCATGAGGTTTCTTCACTTAAAAGATTTTGCAAAATGCCTCTAAAAATGTTTAAGCGAGTTAAAAACAAAGTATTTTAGCAAAAGCTTTCTTAAACAAGTTTTTAACTGATATAATTTCGAAACAACCGGTTGTTTTCATTAAAGAAAGTTTTAAAAATCTTCCGTCGAGTATTTTAACCGATAAAGCTTTGACATAACCGATTAAAATCACTTAAAATGTTAAGAGAAGTGTTTTTACATAGTATTTTAATCGATTAAAACCACTTAGTGTTTAGAATGATCGATCAGAATGCAATTATGACCGATCAGAATCAGATATGATCGATTAGAATTGAGTTATGACCGATCAGAATCAGATATGTTCGATCAGAATTGAGTTATGACCGATCGAGCTTTTTCAATCGATTAAAACACGTTTCAATCGATTAAAACAACTTAGAAAATTTCTACACAACATTTTAATCGATTAAAACTTATTTTTATCAGTTAAAATCACTTGGAAAATTTTACAATAAAGTTTTGCAAGTATATTAATCGATTGAAACACGAAACAATCAATTAAATCAAATTAGAAGATTTTTTGTAAAGAGTTTTAATTGATACAAACGTTGTCGTATCAGCTTAAAACAAATATGTTAAATAATCAAGAACGTATTAATGGATTAAAAGAAGTTTTAACAGATTAAAACTACACTTTTAACAGATTAAAAGATTTTTTAACAGATTGATTAAACCAGCAGTTTTGAAAATCTTCTATAAAAACAGCTTTGGCTTGAACATTTTAATAACAACAATTGAACATCAATCTTTAGCAATCAAGCAAGCAAACTTTAGCACACTTTCAAGAAAGATTCACGCCAATTTTTGTGAAGTTCTTTGAAATTCTTTCTTGAGGCAAATTGCTTTCTTTTGAAGAAGAAACACACTTGCGAATTGCATAAAACTGGTTTGAGCATTCTAGTTTCTTCTTTTCAAATCTTTACATTCTTTTTGTATTGTTTGGTGCCTGGAATTGTGGGCACTAGTTTCTCTGCAGCTGGAATTTGGTTGTAGAGGTGGTCAAGAACTGTAATTTGGTTCTTGGTGAAAGGTTAGGTGCAGGAACTAGAATTGTGGTTCTTGTGGTAGATTAAGTGTAAGATTGTAATCAGTAAAACATTTGATCTAGTGGAACCCAGCTGGAATTTGGTTGGAGACTGGACGTAGCCCTGGTATTGGGAGAACCAGTATAAACACTGGTGATATCTTTCTAAACCTTTCTCCTCTTTTAATTTTGTTGCTGCGTTTATTTTTTATTGATTGCTTTGTGATTCAAGAACAGATCTGAAATCTTATTTTTACAAATAGATAATCTGTTATTTGCGAAAATCTTTCAAATATCAATTCACCCCCCTCTTGATCT